ATGGTGAGTGGTGTATGATGAGTGGTGTATTGATGAGTGGTGTATGAATGAGTGGTGTATGAACAGTTTTTGAATGTCCGTAACGCGGAAGTTTCGCACACTAAACTTCCTTTGACAAATTTTGAACGCCTTTTTCTTGTGGTATGATGATGCGACGCACGTTATTCTGTTGGGCTCAAAAACATGTGAGGTAACAAACTATTCATTACTTCGTTGCAAGCGCGCTTGACTAAATTGTGTTTTTGTTCTTCACGCACTGCCTTTCACAAGCATCGCAGGCGTCGTGCGCAGGAGTCGAAGCAATGCGTTGCCAATTCCTCCGCCTGTGCAGGAAGCACTTCAGGCCCAGTCCTATTAGGGCCATTTCTTCTAGGCTCGTGTTTGTGGGTTGTCAGGTAGGCCAATCGATTGAAGGCCTCCAGTGTCTTGGCGCAGCCTTGGCTCGGAAAGTTTCTACGAACGCCTCCAACCTACCAGCGATGGCCTCCAACCTAATGGTTGCCAGTATGGCTTCCTGTTCCTAATAGCGGTTCCAGGAGCCCATAGTAGCTTCTTGTTCCTAGTAGTACGGCCAGGAGCCCCTAGTAGCGTCCTTGCTCCTAATGGTTTCTAATATAGCATAGGAGATTGTTTTCCCACGAGCGCACAATTGCAACTTCCGTAAGGAACATCAAAGAGGGCGAGGACATGTACTGCGTAAGGTGCTGCGTTTGGCGTCGTGGGGAGCTCGTCAGCTGCTTTCATTTTGGGGTTTGCGTTGGAAGAGCGCCAACAGTTTACTGTTAGGGTTCTCAATACTTTTAAGCGTGTCCGCCTTTTCTAGACTGCTGTGTCCGCCTCGTGCTGCCGACCTCTGCCTTTCAATCCGTTTCATGTGTCTCCCAGTCTGGACTGCTGTGTCTGCCTTCTGACAACTCCTTAGTCCAGTTGGCCAGCAATTCTTTACATTCGCCTCCCAGTCTGCGCTAGTATGCGCCTGGTGGAAGCTCCTCGATAGCCGTTCTATACATTTGGTGCCCAGTGGGCTAGCGTCCTTCTTGGCAACTCCTTAGTAGCAGGTCTCGAAGCCTGGGCTAGCGTTAGATTTGTCTCTGAGCGGGTTCCTTTTTCTGGCTTTCAATGTGTTTCCAGTTTTGGGCTACTTTGTACGCCTGGCAACTCTTTGGTAGCACTTTACATTCCTCTCCACCTTGTTGAGTGACGGCGGCCAACTTGTTGGGGTGTATGGTGTGTATTTTTGTATCACGAATATCGCTACTAGGTTGGAGGCCATCGCTTGTTAGGTTGGAGGCCTTCTCTACCAGGTTAGAGGCCATCGCTTGTTAGGTCGAAGGCCATTGCTACCAGGTTGGAGGCCATCGGTCTTAGGTTGGGGGCCATCGCTCTTAGGTTGGAGGCCACCGCTTCTAGGTTGGAGGCCATTGCTATTGGGTTCCCATCGTTTCATTAACTTCATGGACAAGCGGTGGCTTCCCTGGCGCAAAGGTGCCGAAAGGGGCCCAAAGGTATGTTCAAACTCTCAGCTTTAAAGGCAATTCAGTGACCAGCTGCACAGGTTGGGCAGTTTGCCAATGTTTGCCAAGGCCATGGAGACTCAAGCAAACCTATTTGGCAAAGTTCGAAAATCTCTTGGATGGCCTCCTTTTGTTGTGATGATGGCAGGTCACTAAGTCGTGCCGATTCACCAGACCAAATGCCAGCTGAAAAGCAATTCATCTAAACCGACGTCAACGTTGAATTCCACGCTTGGTGTAGAGTATTCTTTTGTGTCAACTTTGAAGCAGAATGGCTTCAACCGTATCGAACAGGCGCATTTTGGTTTGAGATTGACCCACAATTTAGAAACGATTGGAAAGGACCCGCTAGACATCGCAGTAGATTGATGCTTGGCGGGGGCGAGCGGCTTTCAATTCGACGCAAGCTTTGCCTTCGCTGAGGCGTGATCTGACAGGCAGGATTTGGCCGAGTCTCCGCTAAAAGGCTCAAGGCTCGCTTGCTGCAACCAGTTTCAGGAGTGGGTAGTGAGCGCGCGCTCTACCTTGAGGTACAAGGAGCGTTTACTAACGTGGTGGTTGAAGCGGAGGGATTTCGGCTAACGCTCGAGAGGCAACGCTTGCAAAGTCCAAGAAGGTGTGGGCCTTTGAATCAGACAGCCGACGCCTATAGGGAGTCCAGACCGGCTGGCGGCTGACGATGAAAGCCTCTTTCTCTGCAGAAAATATTGGCTTTTCATTAAAAAAATCACCTGGCCGGACCTGGCGCTGCCCAAGACCGGCTGCAGTTGCCGGCGGTCAGCAGGCCGTTCGAGGATTCAGTTGGATAGAGCGTGGCCTGAGGCTGGTGGACCTTTGAGACCTGCCCGTCATGACCAAGCTCCAGCAACAAAGCCACTGCCAGTGGCACCCTGCAACTCTTGGCACTTCGAGCATGATGTTTTGACGGAGCAATTGTAGAGCCCTCTCTTGCTGGGGCACCTTGTCGAGCCAAACATCGTCTTTGCTAACCATGAGCTTGCCCAACGGCGGTGACCAGTAGAGGCCCGTCTCACAGCAGCGCATTCAGAGGCAGCGGGCCTTGAACGCAGCGAAAGGTTTGGCCAAGGATGCGCGCAGGAAAGCTCTGCTGCGCGAGCCTTGCAGAGAGAGTAGCGTATATATATTGCCCCTTGCGCAGCTATGTGTATATATTGATATATATATATATATATAGATGAAAGCAGGAACTTGTCTGTGTTCTATCGACAGCATGGCGTGCACGATGTCCTTGGTGTCAGGCCGTTCAGACCTCATGCTGACCTGGACCATTTTAGGCTCTCCCGTGAAAGGGGTCGACATCATTTTGCGCACCCCCTGTGGCCTCAAGCTCTTTACGCAATGCCTGTCAGCTAGGTTCCGGGGCCTTTCTTTGGCGCGTAAGTCACGCCCTGATCTTACTTTGACGTCAGCCGTACTGCATTGCAGAAAAGAGTGTGTTGCAAATCACGTGGGCTGAAGTCAGGCGCTCAGCCACATGTATCTATGGCTCAGCCGTTCTGTGTGCAACGCGCGCTTTCAGTGGCACGCTGAACTTTCAAGTCTATTGCGCTTGGCAACCTTTGTGTCATATCCATGTGAGTTCGGCCCTTTGGAGCCGAGAATCGGACCGGGAGACTATGGAGTGTCCCTTAGCTGCGCGTACAAAGTTAAGAGGAAATTGCGTGGCTTGAAGGCAATCTTTCGCGTGTAACATCAGTTGATCCATTATATGTGGCGCAAAACTCTTTCGTTTCGAAAAAGGAACTCACGCTTTCAGTCGCTCACCAATTGTACTTTTATGTGTCGCTTTTCATATTTTGATATGCCGGTACTTGAATGAGTGCATGGGCCTGCCTAGGGATGTCGAACTTCCACCATTGTTCTACTTGCCAACGTTGCGTGGGACCCTGAAAGGGCAGGGTGGACAGTGGACAGCTATAAATTTTTGCAGGCTCTGATTGTTTCTGCGTTGATTCCACCGGGCCAATTTGACGGATACTCCGATCTTTTTGGGCGATTGAGATGTGGCCGACAGCCTTTGACTCCGCAAACGGTTTTGCGCATACGTTGTGAAATGCTTGACCAAGGTTGCCAACTTTGATCATCACTGTGGCGTTTTTGGACGCTGCATTGCAGGGAGAGGATTTGGTGGAAACATGGGCGGCTGCCTCAGCCCGGTCCTGGACTTGTATTCTGAAAAGGTTTCGCCATCATATAAGTCAGATGGCAATTTGAATCGAAAGCGCCAACAAATTTTTAAATTTTCATGTTTCGATAGTTCAGTGTTTGCCGAGAAAGGTGTTGTTGATGTTTGGAGCGTTGAAAAAATCATTCCGTCGACAAATTCTCCTATTTTGCGAAGCATGTTTTGCGCCGACGCCTTGTCCCTAAATGGCGCGCACTGTTCCAAAGACACCACGGAACAGCGTGATGCCTGGCCTCCAAAGTGCACGGATTCAATTTACTTTATATTTGAAAAACGAACCCGAGTGCTTTCGTTATCTACGAAAAACAATTGTGCCAGCATAGGCCCCAGAGAGCGTGGTAGAAACCAACAAATTAAGCGAAACACATTGTATTATTGCTTAGGGGCATTGCGGCAGCAGCTATAGTCCCCACATTTGTTGCGGAGCATGCTGGCATCAATTCTTCAGTGGGGCGTGCCTTGGAGACAGCGCTTCACCAACAGACCCGTGTGGCCATCGCTTCTAGGTTGGAGGCCAAGTGCTTGCCCAGTTCCAAAGACACCTATAGACCGGGTGCGCCGACGGTCGGTCTTCATCCAGGTCTTTACCATTTTGACAATGCAACTTGTTTCGAGTAGCGTCCTTGTTACTACTAGTAAGCCACTTGTTACTAGTAGCGATGCACTTGTTACTAGTAGCGATCATTTTCAGTTTCTGCTGCCAGACTTGCTCGACTTTTTGATAGTGAAGCTACTAGGAACAAGTGCATCGCTTCTAGTAACAAGTGCCTTACTACTAGGAACAAGAAGCTATTAGAAACAAGAAACATATGGAAAATGGCCTTCCGCATTGCCCGAACTGCTAGGGGCAGCTTCTGTAGCCACGATCCTTTGCCTGCAGCAATGCGTCCAAGGCATTCCTGATCTTGTCCACAGTCAAAGGCTTCAATTTGAGACAGAACACGTGACGCGTTCGCATGACCACGTGTGCCCCACAGGCAGAGTAAGTATTCGAGGTTCCGGCGTGGCCAATGCCAATGACATATGTAATGCTCGAGCTTGAGCTTTGCTATGACGCCGCGGCTACACGTTTGCGTGGGTTTTGATGCCGGTGACTCGGCGGCTGCGTGCGAGGACGCTCTGGTGTTGAGGTGTTGATGTTGCCCTTGGCTGAAGGACCTTGGAACGCAAGGTGAGGGTCGAAATCACTCTCCAAGTAGTAACAAGAAGCTATTAGTAACAAGTGCCACGCTACTAGGAACAGGTGCCTTACTAGTAGTAACAAGGTTCGCTATTAGGAACAAAGCGCCGCCATGGCCCTTCGGAATGACGCAAAGCGCTCGATTTTTAGTGGTGCATCTGTCACTCTAACCGAACTGTTCGGTTTTTGGCAGCAAACATATGGAGGTGGGCGTGTGTGACTGATTAAGAAGGAAAAGTGCCTTCGGTTTATTTTTTCGTTTTGTTCGGGCCAGCTACTAGCCCTATCGGCCCTATATGGGCCCTATCAGGTGGTCGAATAAGAGAGCAATTTCGCTAGGTTGGAGGCCGCTTTTCGGTTGGAGAGCAATGCGGGTTGGGTTTATGGTGTCAGATCTGTCACATGCCGTGCTGAGGATTCTTCAAAACGATCATTGCTATGGCAATGGCCGGCGCTGTCACATGCTTTGCGAGCGTCATTGTACTCCTGATCAAGCAGGCGTGAGCCACATCAACTCTAGTAGCGTCCTTGCTCCTAGTAGTCAGGCCAGGAGCCCCTAGTAGCGTCCTTGCTCCCCACGCGTCATATCGGACTTTAAACTAACATAAGTTGGTGTGCTTTGCCAGTGTCAGAGTTTTGAAGGAGGAGGGGTCGCTTCTCGCTGTGATCCTCTTGGCCTATATGACCCCGGTCTTTCTTGGGTGCTGCGTTCTGTTATGCCGTTCCTGCTTGTTTGTAAATGGCCTCTTGGCGGTTCCATTCCGACGCGAGCGTTTGGTCGCCAGGCAGCATGATGTGGCCGGAGACACTTGCCTTGAACTCCAAAGTGACAATTCTGCACTAAATGTTTCTGTGCAACTTTGGGATTGAGGCAGGGCTGCTGTTCAAGTGGCTATGCCAGGGTGGTCCAGGCTTCGGGCCTAGAGACTGGCGTGCAGACAATCGGCAAAGCATAGCAAGCCATCAGCGTTTGGCAATGTTTTGCGCTTATTTTGCATACGTTTGCTACTAGGAACAAGTGCCACGCTAGGAACAAGTGCCTTACTAGTAGTAACCATGTTTGCTACTAGGAACAAGCTACTTTGCATACGTTTGCTATTGCAGGAGGATGGGAACCCGATTGGCCAAAGCGCCATGACCATTGGTGCATCAACCGAAATGCGTGACGCAAAGGTCGCCTAGAGCGAAGGAGAAAAGTCACGCTCGCCTAGAGCGAGTTGATATAAACGGAAACTAGTTGATGTCCTGGTCGAGGCCATTGATGTGGGGATCACTCAAAGTAGTTGCTGTCCGTGCAAGCGAATCCGAAGGCGAATGAGGAAATTGTTGCGGGAGTGCCATGGTTCAATCCGTACGTGCCGCTTCTTGAGTTCAATCCAAGCTTTTGTCTCAGCTGTTCTTCGGTGTTTGAAGCAGGTGCCAACAAGCAAAATGCAATTCGTTTGTCGTGGCTATTTGGGTTCAGACAGATTGAAACGACCACAGCCGGAAAGCTGGAAGGCCAGGTGATAAGATGTAGGGTTCAAACAGTGAAAAACATAAGCTACTAGGAACAAGTGCCACGCTACTAGGAACAAGTGCCTTACTAGTAGTAACAAGGACGCTACTAGGAACAAGTGCATCACGTAGCATTGAGATGCGAATATTTTTTGAGATCGACCTTGCCAGGCATGGAGGACGAAGATTTCTATGTTCGGTACTACGTCGGCCACAAGGACATTCAGATTCAATGTTTTAATATTGGCAATATGGAAAAAGTCCTCCCGTTTTTGATTTCAAAAACATCTCAAGAGAGAAACGGATTTTACTGCTCACAAACAACACAATTTTTCAACATGGTTTGAATGCTTTACATTCCAATTGTCTCTCAATTGTTTTCTCCAATACTCTCAAGAAGCTACTAGGGGCTCCTGGCCTTACTACTAGGAGCAAAGACGCTACTAGGCGTTTTTTCTACAATTTGTTTCTCTGTTTCTAGTAGCTTCTTGTTACTACTAGTAAGGCACTTGTTCCTAGTAGCGTGGCACTTGTTTCTAGTAGCTTTTCTCTGTTCTCTTCCGGATTTTCAGGGCAAGTTCGGGCACGAATTCCTGGAGTTTGAATTTCGCCCTGATGGACGTTTGCGTTACGCCAACAATTCCAACTACAAGAACGATGACTTTCCTCCACGTTTGAAAGAAAACCATAGAAGACTATGCCTCAGACTATGCTTGAAAACACTAGCTAAGCATAGAATGCCTCAAGAAGGAGACCTGAATGTCTAAGCCAGGTGATGATCCGGAAAGAGGCGCATGTGACGCAGGCACCGCATGAAGCACTGCGATTTGGGTCATTTTCTGCTGAAACACATGTGAAGTTTGCAGCGCAAGGCCGTGATGAAGGATTGCGAAAAATGATAGAGGACGACGGTAGTAACAGGTGCCTTACTAGTAGTAACAATGTTTGCTACTAGTAACAAGTGCCTTACTACTAGGAGCAAGAAGCTATTAGAATTAAGTTAAAATTAAATTAATAGCTTTTTGTTACTACCTGTAAGGCACTTGTTACTACTAGCGAGGCACTTGCTACTAGAGGACGATGGGGCGGATTTGAACGGACAAATGCGACTACGGATTGCTCCCAGTAGGGTCCATTGTTCCGTTCGTAGTAAGGCCAGGAGCCCGGAACGTAGCTTCTTGATTCTATTTCCAATTCTCTATGCATTTTCTTCTTCCTTTCTTAGCATCCTTTGTTACTACCAGCGATGCGCCTGTTACTAATAGCTTCTTGTTCCCTTCCTAGTAAGGCCCTTTGCCCCGAACGTAGCGATGCCCGCTCTTTCACCTTTTGGGTCAGGACAGCGAGATCCTAAAGGAAGATGACAATCATTGGCCAGCCCCAGACCGCATTGGCCGGCAGGAGCTGGAAGTGGTTTGTGGCAAGGACCGTTTGCAGAAAGTAGCTTCTTGTTACTAGTAACAAAGGGCATCGCTTCGAGTAACAAGTGCCTTACTAGTGCCTTACTAGTAGAAACAATGAAATAGTAGTAGAGGAGGCTACTAGGACCTTTTCGCGCGCGCGCGCGGGGGGGTAGGAGCAAAGGACGCTACTAGTAAGGCACTTGTTACTACTAGCGATGCACTTGTTCCTAGTAGCTTCTTGTGAACAGATTCCCAGTTTGCAAGGAACACATCTCATTCACTACATCCAAGATTGGATCACTTGCAGATGTGCAAGCGTCCAAGGACCTGTTATGCGTGAGAATGCAAAACGGATACCACACCAAATACAAAAGCCGAAGGAACTCATTAAACTAAATCAAAAAGGGTAATATTTTTTGAGTTATTAATAGCAATGGCCTCCAACCTAGAAGTGATGGCCTCCTACCTAATAGCGATGGCATCCAAAAAAGAATGAAGAAGAACCGGAACCAAATGAATAGAAGCGTGAGCTATCCTGCGTCCTACCTAGAAGCTAACATAAGCCTTTACTTATTAAGTAAGGAGGCAGGGCCACGGGCCAAAATGAAAATAACATGCAAAAGCGCTACTAGTAGCTCCTGGCATCGCTACTAGGAGCAATGTTTGCTACTAGGGGCTCCTGGCCTTACTACTAGGAGCAAAGACGCTACTAGGAACAAGTGCATCGCTTCTAGTAACAAGTGCCTTACTAGTAGTAACAAGTGCATCGCTACTAGGAGCAAAGACGCTACTAGGAACTGGAGAATATTTTGGACAAACCGATTCGACAGGATCCTGAAGGACTGAGAGTCTTCTACTACCTCGTCCAGGCGCGGTCTCCAACCTAGCGATGGCCGGCGATGGCCTCCAGCATAGAAGCATTTCCTCGTTTTTGCTTTTAGCTTTCAAGTGCATCGCTACTAGGAACAAGTGCATCGCTACTAGGAACAAGT